AGAACATATAATTTTTCCAACTTCACTGCAATATGTTACACGTTTCATGTTTATTTTTATTTTTTTTAAATATTTCAGGATTATGGTGTTGTTGCTTACATCAGTATATCTCCTTCTGTTATATGCTGTCTATGTTCCAGACTGGGAGTACCATATTCCACATGACACGTCTTCTGAGGCTAAGATTAATATGGTATTTCATTTTAATTTTCTAATTCTTTCATTGTATTTACGAATTTATTAATATGACGATGTTGAAATGAAGGTGAAATGTGGGGTACGTGGTGACACTGGACCTGCATGCAATTCTGCTGGAATGATAGATCGTATGATTTTGGGTGTTAATCACTTGTACCGGAAGCCAATATATTCTCGAACACAAGTAACTTCTCTATTCTAGAATGCTAAAGATTTAGTCTAAACCTGTCATATAGAATCTGTTATAACTGTTATATTTATCTGTTTTTTTTTTGGACAGCAATGCAGTATTAACTCACCAGATTATGGCCCTCTCCCTCCTGATGCTCCTTCATGGTGTCGAGCCCCTTTCGAACCAGAAGGATGTTTAAGGTTTTGCTTTTTGCCTCCTTGTACTTTTGTTTTATTACAGTAAGGATGCAGTACAAAATTGTTTAACGTTTATACTGCTAGCAATCTTTATTACAGTAAGGATGCAGTACAAAATTCCCCTTTTGTTTTATGCAAGCAATCTCTCATTTTCAGCAAGATTTAACTTCTTTATACCTGCTTTGAAAGCTGAAGCATTGGTTTTTTAGTTTAAATGACAGCTAACCTTTGTATTGTCATTCTGTAGTACAGTGATGGCGGTTGTGACCTGCTTGATAGGCTTACAATATGGGCATATTATTATTCATTTTAAGGTACGACAATTACTATTGTGCTAAGAGCCGGGAAGGAGTTCTTTGCCTTCTCTTTATTGACTGTCCTGTTACGATTTGTTTTTATTTTTTATTTATTTATTTTTTTATATTCAGAATCATAAAAGGAGACTTTTGCTGTGGTCAGTACCATCAGCAGGTTTCATAGTCTTGGGCATGCTTAGCGACATGTTTGGTAAGATTTTTTCATTTTTGTTATTTNATGAATATGGCAATAATTACAAACATGGGCTAATTGCGTAAATTCTTTCTTGACAGGTAGATGTGTACGGATATAGGCGTTTTACTATGGTGCTCGAATGGATGGGAAAGCACGCATTGGTTATATATATTCTTGTAGCATGCAATGTTTTACCGCTTATCCTCCAAGGATTTTATTGGAGAAATCCAGGCAACAACCTTGTAAGATATATATGTTTATCTTGTAATCTCCATGTAAAAGTTAGTTCACATTGCTTTTATATTTGGTATAATGTTACGCCTTTTTGACAGCTAACTGCGATTGGGATCGGAAAGAAGAGTCACTGAGGAGGAGCTGATGATGATGTACAGTGCATGAGTTGATGAGGTTGATAACACAGAGATTTTGAGGAGGCAGCAATTCTCGAGTTATCTTGTAAGTGGCATTATATATACACAGCCGGTTATGATTTTATTGTAGTTGTTGACGAAAATAAAATTTTATTCCTTTTTAAATATTTATAACTACAGTTACCCTGCCTATGTATAATTTCTTCTGCTGTTGAAAATTTTGACACGCATACCATCAAGTATATGAATTTTTTATCTATTTATAGACACATACCATGAAGTATATGAAATTTTTATCTATTTATATTTGTAAATTGTAAAACACGTGTGGAGACGTGGTGGCATAATTCATTTAATCGTAGAATTTTCTTGATAAGTATACATAACTGAACACGGCACTTCAAAGAAATAACTCCATGACACAAAAAATGCAAAAAGGAGGATAGGATGTGGTTCAAATGAGAATTAAGTCTTATCGTGGGAATCATAAGAATCGTTATTTTTAATTGTATAAAGTGCTATGATTGATTGTGTTTTAATGCTATTTTTAACTAAGATGTATTTTACTAAAAATAGCAACAAAATTTATATTAATATTTGTGAAAATGATAGCATCATGTAATATTAAAAACATTATCATACACAATTAAAAATAACATCAAATATGATTCTCACGGTTCTCGCACTAGGACTAATTTTTATTTGAATCATTCCCGAGGAAGATATATGTATAAACAAAAAAAATGCTCTAAGCATTAGTATATTTGGTAAATTTAGTTGAAAAGCTAATTGATAGCTGATAAATTGGCTAAATCGATTGAAATAAAATATTTCAGTGAGTTTTGATAAGTTGGTTGATAGCTTATACTGAAAATTTGTCATATAAAATAAAATAGTAAAATTAGATGGTAAATCAATTGAAATAAAATTTTCAATTTAATTTTTTTTAATAACTTATAAGATAAACTCGAATTTTCTAATAATGTTTATCCTACCAAACAATTTCATTCTAATTCAATAAACTTTTAAGCTAATTAATAATATTTTGGTAAACAGTCTCTCCGTGTAATGACTTAATTGTGTAACAAGCTAGATTTTCAATCAAAAATAACATTTTTATTTTTTCTCTTTTTTTATAACCTACTGGTTAAGTAAAGATTCATTCCATACTTTAGATCTGTGGATATATATAATATGTGTATATTTGAAGTTTTGAATATTGCATAAATAATTTTAAGAAGCCACTAGTAGAGTAAGGAAAAAGTATGCAATAAATTCAAGAGAAGAGGGCAGTAGTAGAGTAAGGAAAAAGCAATATTATACTAGACTAGAAAAAGTAGATGATAATAGTGTCATAGAAAAGGAAAAAGATAAGAAGATGACGACAGCTCAACACACAAGACGCCGCGTGAGAGACAATAACAAATCATAACAAATCATAAATGAGATCCATCACATGCCTCCTTGAGTAGCAGTAGCAGTAGCTACTGGCTCTATAAATATATGGAGTATTAATTAATATAATAATAATTAAAATTTAAGAGACACGAAAGCAAAAGGGGCGTGATAATAATTCATATGTCCCTGTCCCTCTTGCACTCCACCGGTACAGTTGGATTCCTGCTCTTGTCCGTGCAGTAGTTGTAAATCGTGTATTTGCGTCTTACCCATCGCAATTTTCTCCATTGGTAACTGTCGAGATCTTGAAACTCCTTCTGATCCCACCACCGTTTTCCCTGCGTGACGCAGAACTTGGCCTCCACCGAAGCCTCACAACCGTCGATGTGGAAGCCTTTGTAAGACGCCACGAATGGGGCCTTTGACCAGTCCGTCTTCTCAAGCCCACCCCTCGTGGCCCAGTCGTCAGCGTTCCAAAGGCTCGAGTAAAGCTTCATCGGCTGGTTGAATGGGAATTTCACACCCAAATCCTTGCTGTTCTTGAAAACCCGTATTGGGACGTCGTCCACGAAGAATCTGCCAATTTTTTCTTTTCAATTAATCTCTAAAATTTAATCAATTTTGCTTCTCCAAAACCCAAACATAGATATATTATTATATTTTGTTAAGCATATAAACTAAATTATAACTTATTTATAAATTTTCTATATTCAAATAAGAATTCTTATTCCAACTTTATGTTTTTTAAATAAGTTAATTAAAACTTTTATTTTAACTAACTAAATACTTTTTATTAATAAGCTGACTGAATTTTAAGTCATAATATATCTATTATAAATTCAAAACTATAACCAATTATGTTTACCAAAAATAGCATACATGAACGAAATTGTTGGGTGGTTTATTTCATTTTTTACACTAATATAATATAGTATTGTATAGACCTGAACCAATGTGGAGCGGGCACATGGACACGCTCTGACAAAGTCAGAAGGTCGCACATGATTCATCTAGCAACATTACCTCAATTATGAAATTTCAATTATTCCAATTATTAAAATCAACAAAACGAAACCCGTGGCCGGTGACCTTTAAGAACACTCGGTTTTGGGTCTCTTTTTGTATACGTGGTGACCTTTAAGAACACTCGGTTTTGGGTCTCTTTTTGTATACGTGGCATATAATTGGATTTGAGTCTTAAATGATGTGAACAAACTTAAGTAAAAAACTTCAATAACTTTGCAATGCAAAAATAAAAATACTAGGTCTAACATATATGTCAACCAATAAAAATGATCTAATATGTTTTTTTATTAAAAGAAAAATTAAAGTAGGAATAAATGATTAGCGTTTGGGTTTGTACTTGGGTCCAAAATAGACCCAAGTGTGGACTTAATCTCTTTTTTTATTGCCACAAGCTAGACCATGTCCACTTTTAATTGCAATGGGAAGCATTTGTAAGTTAATCCCAAATTAGTACTTATATAACTTTTGGACAAACACTCTTAATATTATTTTTAATATAATACACTGTGAAACCATATCTAGGCTCGTCTTTTCACAGTTTTCATGAAAGAGTGTTGGCTGGCTACTCTTCCCATCAAAATTTAAAATAAAACAATAAATAAAGCAAACCCTGTCAGTATCAGCATATCTCTCTACCTATTTTCAAATAGCAGCAGCAACAGAACACACCCATTACCATTTGGTATAACACTATAATAATAATCTTTGCATCTAAAATGAATTTATTATATTAACTCAATGGTCAGTGATAAATTCTGGTTTGAAGGAGCAAAAAGAGAAGTACTTACACAATCTGGTATAGATTCCAAAGCACAGAGTATCTGTGGTAGGCTTTGGTAGGATCAAACCAGAGATAAATCCTTTGCTCCTTATTGCCTGTTCCTCCAGTAAACACATTGGTCTGCAATATGTATGGCTGCCCACTTCTATTCCCCAAGAACTCAAAGTCTATTTCGTCATGCTCGCTGTTTTGAGAAGATAACTGCAGTGCAGTTGAACAAAAAATTAAGAAAACAACGAATGTCATGTATATGATGCTTAAAGTGAGTGAGTAATGTTAATGTTACCAGTTACCATCGTTTTTTTTCTTGTACTTACATAGAAAGCAGTAACAGTGCCAGCAGAATCTCCACCGACCATCTTAATATTCATACTGAAGTGCCCAAATAGGTATGAGCCCTTCGACTGAAATCCAGTACCTAAGCCCCCAAAATACACAAAATTAATGTGAAAGGAGGATTAAAATTAATGAAATGGGTGAAAATTTTTGCATACCGGTAGTCTTGTCGAGAAGGAGCTGGATCTCAGAGCCGCTATTGAAGTACTTGATATGGTCAAAAGCCCAAGTGGGTACATAGTTTCTTCCGAAGGGAACATCTATTGCTCTCTTAGGCACAGCAGCCACTGCACCACTCACCATCACTGCTAACCACACAACATTATGGGCCACTAAGTAGCGAGAAGCCATGTTTTGTTTTGTTTTCTTTTCTTTTGCAAGCTACTTCATTAATTAGATGTAGAGAGATGAAAAAGGGCTTGAATGGGAGGTAGATAAGAGATGAGGCCTTGTTTATATAGAGGACATCAATGGCCTCAATCAGCGGGCATTGGGTTATGGGCACAGCCGAATACTGCTACAAATGGTCTTACAAAGTCAAGAACAAGCACATGATGATGGGATGCTACAAATATATATATAATATAATATACTCCATGGTTTAAAATAATTCAATATGGCAATTGGATTTAGTTGTTCCCTCATTAAGGTTATATTAAATTCCAATCATTTAATGAGACAACCAAAAATATAGGTGGTGTGTGGTGGGCTTTAATTGGACGTGCCATTAGACCTCCTGTCAACAACAATGTGATGGCATGTGTACTGTTGGGTAGAAATCAAATTGTTTGCTAGTCTAGCTACTAGTAAGTAAGGTCATTATAAGAAATTCTATGTTTTCCATTTTTAATAATGACCAGCCGAGTGTTGAAATATCACTTTCATATGGCCTTTTGCTTATTTGTCGTTATGGTTGGAATACTTTGCTTTTGCTTCATTAAGTACTATGGCCCAATTGCATTTTCCTAGTCATTTTTCTCTCTGCTATTTCATTATGGGGTGGTAAATTGGAGTTGTCAGGTGACTAGAAAACATTGTTTTGAATGAAATCAGCATATATCTCGCGTAGGTAAATAAGACTGAGATTGTTATTTAAAACTCAAATTAAATAGGATTTTGATCTGTCCTGCTTTCTTGCACCCATTTGTTACCCAACGACCTGCAAAGTACGTCAGGAGGTGATTCTGACATAAAACATTCGAAGATTACGTTAGTAAAATACTAAGGAAAGTTGTATTGTATGTAATGCCATTGTAAATGTTATAGTGTGTAAAATGTTACCTTCCATACACATACCTATTTAGAGTGAATTATTGGCTTGTTGGGCAAGCTTTGCGCTACCCGACTGCCCGAATTTCTGTCCGAGTGTCCAAACTGCTTGAAGGCTTGGCCGACAATTATTTTACTGCCCGTAAGGTTTAAATCATTCTTCCACGTGTACACCACGCACAGGTTTATATGCACCTTTTCCATAGGTCCATTGCCACCTACTTGTACTAAGATCATTCAGATATCATGTCCTCTATCTTATGGTCTGTAAGTCTCTTGAATACTTCCTACTTCCTACAATTAGTAGATCGTACGACCTACTTACACTTAGGTCCATCAAGATGTGCTACAAACAGGTCCCGCATATTCTTACCATATACGAGCTGCAAAGAATAATTGAGGCCGGGCTAACTATAGTCGGTTCGACTGAGCTAATTGGGACCAACCAAGTCAACACAACAAAGTGACTCACAAATCACAATGTAGTCGAGGTTTGGACCGACCAACGTTTAAGCGGGACCTAGAAATTGTGATTAAATACTTTATTTTTTTATTTATTTTCACTACATGTAAAATAAAACTATTCCAACTTATAATAAATCCGTACACTTAAGTCCAAATAATAATATTAGTGTATTTTAAAGAAACGTGATAACAAAATAATGTCATTAGTATTGAAAAAAAAAAGTTGCCACCGAGCCTATCTAGGCGGTGACCAAGCGGGCTCGCATGACCGATTTTTTTCAGTCGCTTCATGTAAATTAGAGGCGGCCGCCTAGGCCGATTTTTAGTACACTGATCATGAGGTTGTCCAGAGCATCAACTAACTTTGAGTGACTCAAATATGCTTGTTCTTTTGTTTTTTAAATATATTTATATTATATTAACGAAATTATTTATGATAAATATAATTGAGATTCAAAACAAATAAATTCACATATCAACTAATCTTCAAGATAGTTTATTAGACTGTTTTTTATTAATTAACTAAACAAAATATAAAATGGTTAACACAAATATGAAAACAATCATTTTCTATATTCCTTCCGCATTTTTTTTTTATAAATAACATACCATATAAATATTAGGAAATAAATAAATAAAATTAAAAAGATAACAAATGCATTTTTTTTATTACAGAAACAAATTAACGAATAAATAACATTTATAGTACTCATGGCCAAATGTTTGACAATTAATTGATAGCTGATGATAGTAAAAAACAGATTGTACTAATTAATTTGACTTGCGATTTCAATTAGCTGTTATTGTATTAGCTAATTCGACTGATTAGCTATTTGTTAAACAAGCATTTGATTTTTAGTTGTTACGTTCCTTTGGTGAATAACGAAAATTTATAGTTGTTACAGTATATTGTTTGTTTTTCTTTTACTAGTAAAGTGCACGTGCGATGCACGTGATATCGAATTATTTTTGTTGAGTAAGTTTGTAAAATAAATTAATTTATTTATTAAACATATCATTGCAGGAATGAAATAAAATATAGAACAAATGAATGCATATGTAATTTTTTTAATTTATAATTAGCGTAATGATGTCCTAATATAAAAAGAGTGAAATAACGTTTTACAACTCTCAACTAAAATATATAAAAAACAAATCCTTAATATAAAAACCACTAAGATTTTCTTTCATCTTTCTTATAAGAAACATTCATACTCGTTGGAGTCTAATACATCAATACTATTGCAAAATTTCTCTTAATTCATTTGGCAAAACGCTAATTTTATTCAAACATTTAAGAAACATTCTGACCCAACATATAGTCAAACTTCATGATCGTATAATCTTTATAATAAGGTACTTCTACTAACAACGCATAAATATCTCTATAAAATAACTAATTGTGTCATTAAAATTGCTGGTATTTTTTTTATCATTGTATAAACTACTACATTCCTTTGTCTCTTGACATATTGGTGTCTACCCCATTGATGCATCGGCCCACGAGGTGGGAATGAATTTTATCCACAAAAAAAAGTTGACTTTCCAAAATTTTGGTTACATGTACTTCTCCCGAGGTGCTAAATTATTTTTTGAAATCATCATACATTACCTGAAAGTACCTCTAAAGTAATTGCACATATGTTTGAGTACAATATACCAATGAGATTATAAATATTTCTATAAAAAGTGACAACTTCATTCGAACATTCAAAATTGTTTTGATGCTCCGACATTGTTATTTATTTGAAATATAGACGAACACTATAATCTATTATTTGAAAATTATTGACCATCATGTGGTTGTTGGAATGATTTTAGAATTGTTTATCATAATATCTTTCACATTCGTTTGAATATGCAATATTTGTGTGCCTAATAACTTCTTTAATGCTTTTATTGTCCAACATTATTCATCATACAAAATGATTATAAAATTCAAGATAAAGATCATTTCTTTATTCTCCAACAATGACAAAACAAAACAATCAAAACAATGAGAAAATATTGAGAAACATATCATTTGTTAAAATATTTGATAGGAAAAGAGTTAGAATTCTATTATATTCGATACTCTTAGTCATCTGCAAAGTTTATTATTATGGAGTCATGATTAAAATATACATTATGTATTATAATTTTTTTGATTTTTTAATTATTTAAAATTAAAATTAAATAATATAGGATCATTATTTATGAAAACCAATTTCTTACAGAGTCCCTATATTTAAACGGTAGCAGCAAAAAAGTAGTAATTTTCAAAGACTTTTTGTTCGTAAATATTGGTATTCATACTTCTCTAAGAAAATTCACACGTATTCTTTTTCTCAGTGTGTTACTATTATATTATTTGTTTCTTATTCTATATATAAATAATATTTTATTTGCTAAATAATTAAAGCACATTTATATGTATTGCGTTATTTTTTGTATGTGTTTTATATAATGATGTTTTTAAATTATCTTTTTGATTAGGCTGCAACTACTATAATCACATAAGATATAATGTAAATTTAATATATTTGATAAAAATGTACTTTTTATACGAATTATTAGATTAAAAAATTTACAATTTTTTCAATGTTTGATAAAATAATAGGTAACTAAGTCATTTTCATAATCACTAAATACATATATGGTACCACCTTTATATGGTTCTTTTTCAAGCAGTAATTGAATAATAGTTTAACGTACAACTCATTTATTTGTCTTTTTAATTCACATAGCTAATGTTATCTCATTTCCCTTCTCTGGCCTAGTCTTTTCCTTCTTTTATCTATGATTTCACTTCGCTTCGCTTCGTTTGTACCTAAGGTGCATTCGCCATAGTTTCAGCATTACGGCAAACCATTGTCAAATATATATCGGGAACGGGCGCTCTAGCCAAACTGTGGGAATAGTTGTAAGTTTACCTCAATTTTTTTTATGTTATTTTTAATATGAATTGTTTCAAATCTATGTAAGAAAAATGTAAGAAAAATATACCACAAGTTTATCTTATGTTATTTTATACTTAATAAAATTGATTTAACTTGAATAAATAAATTAATATATACTATAATTTTAGGTCAATTTATTATTTTAAAATTATTACTGATATATATATATAGATATAAATAATTATATTATTTTTATTTTATTTGCAATATATTGGTCAACTCAAACATTATTGAAAAGAAATAATGTGATATATTACATATAAAAAGAGTAACAAATAAAAAAATATGAAGTATCTCAAAATTAAAAAATTTAATGAGAGAAAGTAATTAAATTTTTACTTAAAAAATTTTAAGATTAACATACCCAATTTTAAAGAAATGGATACCTAAAAGTTCTAGTTAAAATATATGTGTATCTTAAGTATGTTTTATATTTCTCATTAGCCAGCTCCAATTGATATTGTACATTAAGTAATTTTATCAGTATTTTTACTCTTTGATTTAATGAGAGCTATAAGTTTTCTCATCATTCTTACCCCTTATTTAGTTATTATAATACTAATAAAATAATTAAGGACCTTTCAAAGTATCTTGTTTGTTTTGAAACAAAAATTACTTATTATCATAAATTAAACGACAATTACATTGAATGTGTTATATTTTCTATCATATCAAAATTTTCATAATAATAGTTGCACAAAATATTATATAATAATACAATTTTTTATATAGATTTGGATTCCTACTTTCACTACAAGAAAATGAGAAAATTTCAACGAAAATTACAACAAGAATATAACGATCTTCTTAAGTTGAATTGAGAAAAATCATGTCTTTTGGTTTCTTAAATATATTTTATCTTATTGTGACTGTATTGATTTATTAAAATGTATTACAAAATGAGAAAGGTGATAGATTAATTTATAAATTACAATGACATGTTATTTTGATGGTATATTTTTTCTATTAACTAAATAATGCCCCCAATATGAAATTATTTTAGATCTATCACTGCAATTAGCTTTCCAATGGAATTTCCATTGAATTTTTGCACAATTCCAATGACAGTTTTTCCAACGATTGAAATATGGTCCAAAAAAAATCCAATGGAAATTCAAGTAATTGAAATCTTTAAATCCACTAAAGTTCAAGTAATTTAATTTGAACTTTGTTGGAATAGCCAATGAAATTTTCCAATAAAAGCAATATTTATGAAATATTCGTTGGAATTTTCTGTAGATTACCTTACCGTTGATTTTTTCATTGCAATATAGCAATTTGTTGTAGTCCTCTTAAACATTAATTTTTTATGTAGTATTTATTGATTAATTGTGTTTACAATTTTTCTATTAAAAATATATTAAACACATGAACTTTTTAGTTCCTATATTTTTTTTTTTTCAGAAATTACTCATTATTTTATCTCAAGATTACCTATTAATTTACCAATCGAGTTACATTTCTTACATATTAAATATTTAAAAATTAGAATATTTCCTATTTTATATGTTCAATATGATATTTATATATTATATTAAAAAAAACTAATATAGAAAATAAAAAGTTATTTAAAATTAGAATAATAAAGATTTTTTTTTTTGGTAACTTGCATGGATAAATGTACAAATAACTATTGTCTATCACATCAAATTTACACATAAAATTATAAGGAGAAAAAACTAACAAGCGTTTAACAACTCAGCTCGTTTACGTCGATAAGTATATTTATAAAAGGTTTATATTTCTTCTATTAATTATAATATTTTTATTTATTACTTTGTTTCATATTTATTAGTACGTGTCACAACTTATTTATTTTTAATATTATTTATCATATTTAATATTTTTTTTAAACTTTTATCGTGTTCTTTTACATGTTCTTAACTGTAGATTTGTCAAAAAATGCATGATATAAAGTCTAGAATTGTTTCGACCATCTGTCACATTATATATCAATTATTTGTATATCTTATATTATATTATATTTAATTACAATTTTTTTTTTAATTTATACTACAATTAAATATTTGTAATTCATAAATTCTTCAATAATATTGTCAAGTCAACTTTTGTTCATAAAATTTTAAAAAACATAATTATTTTTAATTATATGCTTATATCGAATTGAGAAAAGTTATTTTTTTTAATTGTAACTGTATTGATGTGTAACATATATTATAGATGAGAAAGATGACACATTATGAAAAATATAATTTATAAATTATAATGACATTATGTTATTTTACTGGTATACCTTTTCTATTAACTAAATAATGCCTCAAGTATGAAATTATTTTGTATCCACCACTGCAGGTAGTTTTGAATAAAACTTCCATTGAAATTCTTACATTTCCAGTGACATTTTTTCCAATTGTTGAAAAATGACCCGAAAAAAATTCAAACGGAAATTCACACAATAACAAATAATGATAACTGGATTATTTAATAAAATTTCAATATAATGTAATTTGATCTCGGAATAGTCAATGAAATTTTACAATGACAGCTATACGAATGAAATATCATTTGGGATTTTCAGTGGATGTCTTACCGTTGGATTTTTCATTGCAATGTACCATTTTTATATTCCTTTATAAATTATATTTTTTATGTAGAAGTTTTTAATATTAATTATATGTATTTATAATTTTTCTATTAAAAATATATTAAACACATGAACTTTTTAATCCATATATTTTTTAGAAATTGCTCATTATTTTATCGCAAGACTACCTATTAACTTATCAATTGAGTTACATTTCTTGCACATTAAATATCAAATAATAAAAAGTATTATTGTATATATATAGTATGGTATTTATATATTATATTAAAAAACTAATAGCAAATAAAACGTTATTTAAAATCAAAATTATCAAAGCTTTATTTAAAAAAATAAAAGTAAATTTCTAACCTACATGGATAAAAGTATAAATAACTATTGTCTATCGTCTAAAATTTATACATTGAACTAATAAGCGCAAAAATTTAACATGTCGTGAACAATTTGGCTCATTTACATCGATAAATACAAATTTAAAAGTTCTACAAATACTTTTACTAATTATAATATTTTTATTTATTACTTTTTTTCATAGTTATTAGTAAGTATTACAACTTAGTTATAAATTTAATATTATTTATTAGATTTATTGTTTTTTTAACTTTAAACTGTTCTTTCATATGTATTTTAATATATATGTGTGTGTGTGTATAACTTTTAGGTTTGTTAAAAAATACATAAAATTAAAGTATATCACTTTTTTGAATCATATATCTTATTTATATCAATTAATTTTATATCTTTATATTATATTATATATAATTATAATCTTCTCATTTATACTCAAATATATAAATTTTTTATTTCGTACATTTTTTTCTTAAAAACCATTTTATTATAATAACACATATTAATAGATAGATGAGTAATGATAATATATGAATATAATTATTTGATTAAAATAATTAATTTTCAACATGTAAATCATATTATGATTCTCGAGATATTTTTAATTTATTTGTAGATAATTATATGGTTAAAATTAATCCATGTTGCTAAAGTGTTATCTCATTTAACGTAAAAACAAATAGATTAAGTTTTAGTATTATACAATTTCATAAAATTATTCTGGTCTTATGTATCGAAGAAATTGAATTGATTAGAAGTTTAGGTTGCAGAACAATCATTCAACAATTAATCTCGCATACTATTATACATTTTGTATAGGTTATTTTGAAAATAATGTTTCTATACTTTGTGGTCGTTATGAGAAAAAAACAATATCGATTTCTAGTTTTATAAGTGTTTATTATGCTTTTTTTGTTGGATCAATTTTAATTTCTTTAAGGAACTTTTATATATTAGAGTTATGAAATGTGATTACAATATTACCATTAAAATTATATTAAAAATAATGACGTTTTTCAAAACAACAATTCTATATCCTACCAAACAGTTTTAGAGATATGTGGAAGATAATAAATTTGTGAGAAATAATGGTGCCAAACCAACATACTGTAGTTGATTTTAGGAGTGTGGAATGATTTATTCATGTATTTGTATTTAATTAATTAAATATTAGTTATAATTGAAAATATAAGATATGATTGACATTAATATATTACTAATTTGCCATTAAAAACATGTCAAAGTAAGAGTTTATTAGGTAATTCATTTTAATATTTAAAAATATAAAATATGATGTGTATTAGTGTATTACTAATTTGCCATTAAAAATATGGTAAAGTAAGGGTTTTTTAGGTAGTTCATATTTTTACAAAAATACTCATCCTTTTAGAGTAGTATAGATAGATATAGATATAGATATAGATATAGATATAGATAGATAGATATATATAGATATAGATAGATAGATAGATAGATATAGATATAGATATAGATTATTATTCTTAAGAGACAATTCTNAAAAGTTAACAAAATAAGCTTGTTAGCAAACAAAATAATTAACATATTTGATTGATCAAACATCAAAACTAAACTAGACCTAATTCTCTAATTTAGCACCAATGATCCAATCCGTTACCAAACAAACTGAGTATGTATATTTTGTGGAACCGGTTTTCTTATTCATGAAGCATTGTTTTTATATTTAAACCTAGAGCGATTATCCGAAAGGGAGAAAAAAAGACAAAAGGGTTACACTCACACACACACACAAAGCTTTTCGCTTTTTATAAAGTAAGATGAAAGAATCTTTGCAGTTTGCATCATAGTTCATTACTTCTCTACAATGTGGTCAGCACTTGCGAAACATCCCAAAAAAATCAAATCTCACTTCATAAATCATACTATCATCACTTTAATCATATGATAATAGTACATAAAGCAAACTTTTTTGGCGCCTCACAAGAAGTAGCTAGGAAGGGTACATTACTCTATATAAAGAGGATATATACATGTTTTCTACTAGTGTACTATTTTGTTCAAAGCTGGATTTTGGTTAGGATTAGTATATCGTATTAACAATTGAGGGAGAATGAAGGGAAAAGGTTCAAGAGTTGTGCAGCACATAATAGCCAAATGCAGGGCAATGAAAGCCAAGATAATGGTGACTGCCCTGACTGTGCTGTACAAGAAGGAAACCATCTCTGCTAAAGTAAAACACGCTGTAGATGGGATACTTAATCCGACGGAAGACGAGCGAGTGATTATCGATGATAATGATCATTATGATCATAAGCATCAGGATGATAATGATGAGATTAAAGCTGCCGCTAATGATGATGATGATAAGTATCCTGACCTGAGGCACACACTGTTTGATGAGGAGATTGCTCATCTGTTAGATGAATCGGCATCATCAGCAATAGATATTGTCAAGAATACCAAACAGAATTTCAATCTTGAAGACGAGATTGATGAGGTGGCAGATTTGTTCATAACTAAATTTCATAGGCGGATGCGGCTGCAGAAGCTTCTTTCTTTCAAGAGGCATCAGCAGATGCTGATGGGGGGAAATGCATGATACTTGTATTTTTTTTTTTTTTTTAAGGTTCATTCATGATTATTTGAGATCAGGTTCTTGTTTATAAGTGTAATATCTGCATTTGGAAATTTATGTAGCTTATAATAATTCCCTATTCATAGTTTTATTGTTGGTCCAATTCAAGCAATAGTATTGTTACCATTCTGATAAGCCTACTAATTTTATTTAAATCCATTTATTTGAATTTTGTTCATATTTTGTAGTGTAACGTCGTTTATTTGACCGTACAATTTGAGAAATATTTTGTTGTAAGTCATAAACTGTAATATATAAAATTCGTACATTGAAATATTCATAACCCAAAATTGAATAAAGTATCCTAAATAATAATAATAAATAAATCGGGCAATGACAGTCTCTTCACGCATTGAATATACTTTTCAGTTCTAAAGACTTTGAAAATCACCATATCGTGGTTTAAAATCTCTGGAGTCTTCAACTCGAACTCCATAGCCATCCTTATCGAAAAACTATTAACATTTATTAATACACAAATGCTGTAGTCCGCCACCACATGCTCGACAATCGATGGAAAATCAAAGGCCACGAGCGATTGGGGCTTTTGACGGGCACCCTAAAATATCAAACAAGATTGATGGAGCAAATTGAGTTTGTCGATACTTGGAGCATAGTGGCACAACATGACTTTGGTTGTTTTTCGATTTTTTGGCAAGATTGTGAAATTTTTTTATATATTGCAGTTGCATACAATACAATATTAGATTGCAACATTTAAAAATTTCATATTCTATAAATATTAAAATTTTCCTCCAATATACTTCACTCTGCAATTATGTTTCCCAATGTATTCAGTCCATTAACCAACTTCAAGATCCATGACTTACTAAAATTAAATAAAAATCAACTGTAGAATAAAAAAAAAAAATTAAAAGCAGTCGTCTATGCTGTTGCTGGCAACATTGATTGAATTTGAGAGGCCCATGTGGGGTTCGAACTTTGAATAGGGTTGGACACAAGTGCCATTTTGGCGCGCAACCTTTCCCACCAAAATTGGGTGGAATAAAACTCAACTCACGCAAAGGGCACGTAGTTACCAGAGCCCTTGCGAGCGACAATGGCGAGCAACGGCGATGAATCACCCAGTTCCGGCGCCAGCGCCGCGAACGAGAACCCCGCGTCCGCCGCATTCAGTTCAGACCAGCTGCCGACGAATTCCAGTCAAAATTACACGGACGACGATGGCGAAGCGTCTGTCGAAGCCGAAATAATCAGAGATGAAGAAGAAGACAACATCGACGACGAAGGAGAGGACCTCTTCAACGACCAATTCATGAAGTCGGTGTTTCATCTTATTTTCTGAATTAATTGCTTGCTATTTCCCCCTGTTCATGGTGCGTTGATTGCAGTGATTACCGGAGGATAGGAAAGCAGGACCAGTACGAAACCTTGGGTCTGGATGATTCCATGGAGGATGATAGGGATTTTGACCGGATTATGGCTGACCGCAGAGCTGCTGAGATCGAACTCGATGCAAGACAACCTTCTCCTTCTCACCGCAAGTATCCCCAGATTCTTCACGGCCAAGGTGGTCCCCTTTTTTATTTTTCCACCGTCTCTCTCACCATTCTGGATCTTTACTTTGGTATAGAATCATAATACAAGTATATTGTTCCCTTTCTCCCTTCTGTTCACAAATTTGAAAAAAAGTTCCAGGGATACTCATCTTGTGTGGGAATACCAAGGCTCGAGAGACATTTAATTACGTCAATTTATTCAGTGGTTTTTGCTGAAAAAGTGTATACTTTTACGGTATGTATAGATTCTTAAGTACAGCTCTGTCGTTCTCTGATCACAAGAAAAAACTGCAACACACGGTGATATAAGAATGAGGTTTGAAATTAGGTATGGGGTAAACTACAAGTAGAGGTAGACTTGGGCTATGTTCGCTACTTGAGTCTGCCCATGAGATATATTCGTCACAACCAATTTGGAAAACGTTTTGCTGACTCAAACTAAAATGATGCTGTAACTGCGCAAACCATTTTGATAGTCTTTGATGTTGTCTTGAGCTATTATTATGTGAATTGTGAACTGCCAAGTTAAATGACCAAGATACTTAATTTCAGACACCGATGATGATGAAGACAGGCCGCCAAAAAGAACTAGAGGCGACAGGCAGCCAAATACTCCAACCAGCATGGATGATACTGACGGGATACCCAGTTCACCTGGTAGATCACAAATAGGGAACTTCAGAGATGATGTATCCGTGTCTGATACGGACGATGTATGTATTTCAGTTATATATGGCTTAATCTATTCTGAATGCGAGAAGCATTATTAGGAATGTCCTGATAAAAAGGTGCTATCTCTATAGGAAGAAGAGAATGAGGAAGGTGAGTTTGAGATGCATAGAGTTCAAGGAACCCTCAGAGAGTGGGTTACGAGAGATGAAGTGAGGCATTTCATCGCCAAGAAGTTCAAGGAGTTCTTGCTTACTTATGTGAATCGAGAAATTGGTCATGGAGACTTTGAGTATCTAAGGCAGATAAATGAAATGGTGGCGGGTAACAAACTTCCTCCTGAAAAATTTTAAATGCTATTTTCACATCCTAATATGGGTGAATTTAGTAGGTTGTTTGAGTTTGGTTTCATCCAGCCAGTGATCCCACCATGACATTTTCAGTTGTGCATTAACTTAATTCATTTTTACCTGCAGTTAACAACTGCAGTCTGGAGATTGATTACAAACAATTTAACTATACCCACCCGAATATTGCAATCTGGCTTGCAGATGCTCCTCAGTCGGTTCTCGAGGTCATGGAAGAAGTTGCCAATAAGATTGTTTTCCAGTTTCATCCAAATTACAGCAAAATCCATCAAAAGATATATGTGCGCATCACCAACCTGCCCCTGTATAATCAGATACGCAACATTAGGTAATAATTGTTTGAGTTTAGAAATTACTTATATGAGAAATGTGGATGGATTTATTATAATTTGTGCAATATGCTTTCCATTGTGATCTGCAGGCAGATACATTTAAACATCATGATTCGTATTGGTGGAGTTGTGACTAGACGTTCTGGAGTCTTTCCTCAGTTGCAGAAAGTTAAATATGACTGTAACAAATGTGGGGCAATTCTTGGACCTTTGTTCCAGAATTCTTACTCAGAGGTGAAGGTTGGTTCTTGTCCAGAGTGCCAATCGAAAGGACCATTTACTGTTAACACTGAACAGGTAGATACTCTCATGCTCTTTCTAGCTATTAAATGCAACTTATAATGATAATTTGAGTTAATTTTCATTCTTTACACAGACAATATATAGGAATTATCAGAAACTTACTCTTCAAGAAAGCCCGGTTATTGTTCCTGCTGGTCGACTTCCAAGATACAAAGAAGTGATACTGTTGAATGATCTCATTGATTGTGCCCGACCAGGGGAAGAGATTGTAATTTCTCACATCTTTAACCTTACAATTTATGCTCTACCCAAATTTATCAGTATTAATCACCTCTCATGTGGCATCTTTTTTTTTTCAAATATCCAGGAAGTGACTGGCATATATACCAACAACTTTGACTTGTCACTGAATACAAAGAATGGATTTCCCGTCTTTGCCACGGTTATTGAAGCGAATTACATCTCCAAAAAACATGACCTCTTTTCAGCCTACAAGCTTACCCAAGAGGACAAAGACGAAATTGAGAAGTTGGCCAAAGACCCAAGAATCGGAGAACGGGTAAGTCAGTGTTAATTGACTGCATTCTATTGATGTAATTGTTTCCTGCCTAAGTCTTTACTTTTGGTTTTGCTTGTCAAATAATTCAGATTATCAAGTCGATAGCCCCGTCAATCTATGGTCATGAGGACATAAAGACTGCAATAGCTCTTGCTATGTTTGGTGGTCAAGAGAAAAACGTTGAAGGCAAACACCGTCTACGAGGGGATATAAATGTGCTTCTTCTTGGTGATCCTGGAACAGCCAAGTCCCAGTTTCTTAAGTAAGAAATATCTTTGTATTTATTTTGATTGAAGGAAATAAGATCTAACAATTTCATGTCCTTAAACAAGTGGAATCTGTCTCATTTGTTGGTAGTTTAAGATTATTTTGGTTTTAAAATCCTTACATTAAATATTTTTAACTGTCTTTTTTGTTATGGAGCATAAATCATTAAATCCAACCAAGACTGGATTCTCTGCCTGATTCCAGTTGTCAGATCTTACTCCTTTTATAAAATTCAACTTCACGGGCGGCTTGCCCTTTTGAGACCTATACCAGCCTTATATTATCGAATAAATTACCAGGTATGTTGAAAAGACTGGACAGAGAGCAGTTTATACTACTGGGAAAGGAGCTTCTGCCGTAGGTCTAACAGCAGCGGTTCACAAAGATCCAGTTACGAGAGAATGGACTCTAGAAGGAGGCGCTCTTGTTTTGGCTGATAGAGGCATATGTCTTATTGATGAGTTTGATAAGATGAATGATCAGGACAGGTAAAATATTGAATTTTCGAGGCATGTCAACTCGATTGCTGCACCATCTTGCTCATAAGAATCTACTGTAATACAGGGTAAGCATTCATGAAGCAATGGAGCAACAGAGTATTAGCATATCAAAAGCTGGGATTGTCACATCTCTCCAGGCTCGCTGCTCTGTAATTGCGGCAGCAAATACTGTTGGAGGAAGGTAAATTGAAGTCACCTTCTACTAATAATGTAGCATTTTAATGTCCAATAGTAATTCCTTCTTTGATGTCAGATAATTATTTAGGCTGATATACAACATCTCTTTTTGAGCACTGTATTTATTTATTTGGCTTAGTGTGTTGGTTTCTTCCTTGTAATCTGGTTCCATCTCGAACCACGAGTCCAACAAAGAATCTCAAGAAAGTATTTTGGATATTAAGAGAAGTAATACCGAAATGCTTCTTTAAAAATTATTTGCTTTGGTTTCTATACTTCCCTTTGTTTAAGTAAGAATTGATTTCACTTTGACCGGAAAATAGGCAGGGAGAAAACTCCGTTTCAAGCTTTTAACTTGATCTGTTGCTTAACATTTCTTCTTGTAAATCTTCTCTTGCAGATATGATTCCTCAAAGACATTTACACAAAATGTGGAATTGACCGATCCAATTATTTCCCGCTTTGACATTCTCTGTGTGGTCAAGGTCTATTTCTTTTTTAATTTCATCTTAATTCAGTGTCGAACTTAAATCTTTAATCGTTTTAGTACCTTAGGTCTTTAAGAAAAATATCTAATGTATGCAGGACGTGCCTGATCCTTTATTAGACGAGATGCTAGCACAATTTGTAGTTGATAGTCACTACAACTCACAAGCTAAAGGTGGCAGCTTTGAGGATATACCTGTGAGTAATTCACAGGATGGAGACCAAGATTCATCGAGACAAACGGATCCTGAGGTCTTAATAAGAATCTCTATCCCTTTTTTCCTGCCAAGTTGATTGCATATATGTGTTTCGGTCTGGGTAAAAGTATCCCCTTTTGTTCAGATAATTCCCCAAGAGTTGCTAAAGAAGTACATGACATATGCCAAGCTGAATGTCTTTCCAAGGCTGCATGATGCAGATCTTGACAAGCTTACACAAGTCTATGCTGAATTACGCAGAGAATCTTCGGTGAGATTCATCTTTTGGCATATATAGCATCCTTCATGAAGCAAAATCTGCCGCCTTCAATTGAATCTGAAAACTGATTAACTTCAATTGAATGGATGAATGGGTCTTGTTTTCTTTCACTTTTGTAGCACGGACAAGGAATTCCTATAGCAGTTAGACACATAGAATCAATGATACGGATGTCTGAAGCCCACGCAAGAATGCACCTTAGGCAACATGTCACTCAAGAAGATGTGGACATGGCTATCCGAGTTTTGCTGGAATCCTTCATTTCAACCCAAAGGTTCGGTGTGCAGAAAGCTTTGCAAAAGGTACCCTATAGAGCCAGTCGAATGTATGCTTTACATGTTTATTTTTTCAGGCTTATACCTATCTGTTGTCATAATTCCGGCAAGTCTCATGAACTGCTGACCACATAAGCACTGAAAATGACTGCATAGTTTAGTGCTTTCACATCTGTTACCTCTTGTGTTCTATGAAGTACTTGAGAGATAAAATACAGACTCCATAATCCATTATATGCAATGCATTTTTACTCTTGTATGCTTGTGCATGGTGAAAAATACGTATTTTTTTTTTTCTCAAACTTGCTGCAGAGCTTCAAAAGATATATGATTTTCAAGAAGGATTTCAATGGAATACTTCTCCACCTTCTACGAGTACTTGTGAAGGATACCCTGCACGTTGAACGAATTCTGTCTGGTTCCACCGCAAATCTTTCTTATGTTGATGTGAAGGTGGAAGAACTGCGAAGCAAGGTATATTCAATTCTGATCAGTTTTTTGGAATACGGATTTTCTTTTCGTTTCTATTTTTTCTTCTCTGTCATCTTCCTTTTTTCTCTTTCATCTAGTATCTTAATCGATTTACTGTTTTATGTAGGCCCTTGATTTTGGAATCAGTGACCTGGAAGCTTTCTTCAAGAGCTCAGAATTTTTTAGTGCCAACTTTGAGCTAGACGAGGCAAGAGGTATTATAATTTATAAGGCATCATATGAACCAGAACCATTGAGCTGAGAGGCTATGATTACGGTATGGGATATGTTCATTCATAATCTTAATGCCAAGTTTCGCCACCGTGTTTTCATAATCACTTTGGAATGTTTTGGAAGCAGTTGATGAGGTTTGCATGTGGACAGCCATTTGGGATTTCCTTAAAACAGCAATCTGAGACATATTCAGTCTGCTCAAACTCTTTTATTTTGAAGAAAGTAGTTTCCAGAGGACATTGAAACACTCTTAAATGATAAATTATCCTAGTTTTGTCAAATTCAACTCCTCACAGTTAACTCTTTAAGAGATATTTGCATGTATGTTGATTTTTCTCCCGCAGTTTGAGGTCAAATAACTTGTATAAAATGAACAATGGCTGCTTATGAATAATTTTATTGGCTCCCCGTAAACGTTAAATCTCCGCTAATAGATCTTGGAGTCAAAATGCGTGAGAAGGAAATTTGCCCAATTTTATGAAACATGGGTTCAGTCCAAAATTGCAATGAACCGTAAAAAAATGAATTTACCAAAATAATAATTAAAATGCATGGCAGTATAGGAAAAAAAATGGAAATTGAACCGTAAATTTTATATATAAAAAATTAATCCAATCACGATGCATTGAAATGTATGGTTTAACTATCAAACACGTCACGTATAGGACAAACCTAATTTCTCCTCCCCAAAAAATCGCCGCCATCCTCGATCCTTATCCTGCAATCTGAGCGCCTCCTCAGCGGTTGACCGGCTTCGCCGGTGGTCAGCCCTCCACCGTTTCTCTCATACCCTGTTCGTGCACCTCACTCCAGCGCTAGGGATGGAGGGGTTTGGGAGGCTAGGTCTTTCCGTCACCGGACTCTGGCCTTGGTCTACCCCGATTTCTATGGTGGTTCTGAGAGGGATATGTCGTCGGGGGCTGGGAGTAGCTTGGGTGGCTTGTGGCGTACTGGTCGGACTAGGGTGGTCGGGGCTGAGGCACTTTTCTTGCTCCCGTTTTTTCTCTGCTCGCTGGTGTGAAGTAGGAGAGAAGGTCGGTGCACCGGTCTCGGCTAGTGGTGTTGGCCGGATCTGGTGTAGTGACGGTGTGGGGTGGCGAGTTTGCTTGTCTTCAGTTGTGGCCGGGCCTAGCCGGCGGTCGTGCGTAGCTGCTGATGCTCGGGAGCCTTTCGATCTCCCGTTCCCCTTGTCCTCTGATTCTGGGTTCGGGGGGTACCGGTGTTGCCGGACTCGGCTAGTGGTGTTGGCTGTATTCGAAGCATTGGTGGTGTGGGGAGTGACATTGGTTCTCGGTCGGTGGATAGGCGGGCAGCCTTTGGGTGCGGTTCGAGGCTCGAGTTGCCGTCTCAGCTAGGCTTTAGGCAGTTTCGGGGTCGGTTCTTTAGCTACGGACCTATCTTGGGCCATCTTAAGTCCACTTGGCTTTGCTAGTCCGAGCTGCTGAGGGAGGATTTTGTTTCTGCTTTGCTTGGCATTTTTAGTTTTTTAGTATGTCGTTGTTTGTGTCGTTTGTGTCTGTTTATGTCTCGTGTTCGTTATTGTGTTTTAGGTCTGGGCCGTTGGCCTCAGTTAACCCGAGTGTGACTTTATTATCCTGTGGGGACTGTACACTCGGGTATTACCCTATGGGGGCCGTTTTTAGTGTTTTCTTGTGTTTTTGTGTGTTCTCGAGTATTACCCTATTGGGGTCGGGCTCTAGGCGGTCTTTGACCTGTCCTCCCATTTTATGCAGTTGTTAGCTGGTTGTATTCAGCCGTTAGCTGTTTGTATTCAGCTGGGGGCTGTTCTTTTGCACATTTGTGCGCCTTTATATATAAAATCTCTATCGTTTCGACCAAAAAGAAATGTATGGTTTAACTTAATTTTTCTTAGACATTGGTTTTTCTATACGTTTGATTTAGTGTATTTTACTAAAATAATTTTAGTACAATATCGCGTCGAACCAAATAAAATTGTAATTAGAAATTGTGGAAGATAATAATTGAACTGCAACTTAGAAAAATGGAAATGGAATATTTTCCATAATAAGAACATGGAAATGGAATTTTTTCCACAACAAAAATGGAGTTGCAAAGAATTGCATGGTTTGATTTTTTATTTCAGTTTGGACGTGATTTTATTCACCCTGGCAATTAAATTTACGTATTTTAAACATAATTTATTTACAAATTAAATAACTTTGAATAACTTTGAAGTGTGTTACAAAAAAAAAAAAAAAATCGACATCATAAAAGATTTGTTATCAAAATCCGAGATTTGTTATCACAAATATTCACAATCCGATTGTGGTAACGATACTGAGGAGGATACCTAGCTAGTCTTGAACCAGAGCAGGGAAGTGAAGCCCTCGATTAGCAAAAAGAGATTTGTTATCACAATCAGATCAAATTTGTTAACAAAATCCGAAATTTGTTGACATGTGGACTCATTGATATTGCTTAATATTAGTAAGTCAACAATTAAATTTTTATTTTGAAAATTATGTGTCATATCAATGTGACATAATGTTTACCAAAATTAATGAGTTTGTTACAATTTAATTTGATAAGGCTTTTTGGATTGATTGAAAAATAATATTTTTATTTTGATACGAATCATATATCAAATCTCGAGATTTTTTCTGCAATATTTAACTTCAAACAATCGAAAAAATTGTGAAATTTGTTACCAAAAGAATTCCAAGGATTATTAGCAATATATTGTATGAAAATAACTATAAAGTGTGTTAAGAAAAACTGATATCTTAAAAGATTTGTTATCAAAATCCGAGATTTGTTATCACAATCAGATCAACATTGTTAACAAAATCGGAGATTTGTCATCAAAATAAGATCAAATTTGTTACCAAATTCCGAGATTTGTTATCAAAATCGGATCAAATTTGTTACCAAAATCCGATTAAATTGTTTGACATGTGGGGTCCATAGAACCATTTATATTAATATGAATAAATATTTTAACACATTTATTTATTTTGTAATACAGAAAAGATAATATGTATTTATTTTCATAATACTCAAATATTATTTTATTGTAAAACTTATTATCATATAATGTCATTATCAGTATTTATAACACTTATAAAAATATTATTCTTTTTTCCTATATAATAATAATTATTTGATGTACATTAATATTATTTATGAATGAAGTTAATTTAAAGATATATAAATAAATGTACAATGAATATTGTGTCATATATGCATTCTATTCAATTTTTAGAATTTATCTTATTTCATAACAATTGAAAAAAAATTATATATATTTATATATATATATATATATATATATATGTATATAGGGTCGCGCTCCGATGAGAATGGTTCTCAGTGAAAGAAATAAGAATAAATTGTAGCCATCAGATCGGATCATCTAGTGGGCAAAAAAATGAGGAGGTTTTACACTTATTAAGGACAATATAGATATTTTCCCCCAACCACCCTATGTGGGTCCCACCACACAAAAACACCGCTCTCCCAAATCTTCTCTCTCACCTCACCCACGAGAGCACCTGCTTGCCCGGAGGCCTGAGATTGTCGACTAAGAAACCTGCCCCAATCGTCTATGGTGCCATCTACATCACAACCCGCTGCACCGCCGCACTCATTCGCTATGCTATCCACGCCGACGCCGCCGTATTCAGTGTCGTCTGTATACGAAATAGCCTTCTCGCGTGGTCCGGAACTTGAAGCATATTAGAGAAGAAAGTTTCCCCAATCGTCTCTGCCGTCCACCATCTCCCCAATCGCACAACAATTTTCCCCCTGCGCCATCTCCGCCGGCGTCGGCGCCTCCGCATCCATCTCCAGTGACGTTGACGTTGATAGAGCACACCGTCACTTGGTTAATTAGCGAATCTATTGCCAATAGATTTTTTCTGGCCGTTGTAGGGCACCATTGCCGGCGGAAATCAGGAATTTCACGGCGAGGCAAAATACAATCCGATCAGCAGCGGACCAGATCCCACTTGGTATCACCGCCTCGTTCGTGGTCGCCATGGCCACATACCTCCCACGAAGCCAGCGTCCTCGCCACCAACATCGACCATGTCATCCACCGCCGCCCCTGCCTTCTCACCTGCAGCATCGACCGCAGGCTCAACATCGGGTATGAAGCAGACGACAACGCCTGCAACAATCGATTGATGTTTGTTCGTCACAATTAAAGTTTGAATCGACGGATGGAATTGATTTAGAAGTCCGGCAGTGAGCCTAGCGCGTGGCATTTCATCGTCGCAGTCTACTTCGCCTTGGGGTTCATGGCTGGGAGGTTTATCCTAGATAGATGCGTCTTCCATGTAAGCCCTTTCTCTGCGCGGTGGTGCCATATTCGATTGGCTCGATTTTTGAATGCTTTTGTGCTTTAGTTGGATTTTTGTTGAATGTTGCATTTCTTTGGTGATAAATATACTTGTTGAGGTCTGTGTGTTTCAGTTTATTTGATTTAGGATTAGATGTTTTTGGTTTGTATTTTTTATGTTTCAAAATGATCAGTTCTTTGACTTGCATACCGTGTACCCAAAATTTGCTAGTTATGTTATTTTCTTCTCCTTTGAGGGAAAAGAATTTTTTATGAATGAGTATTGCCTTGCATGAAATTTCATGTTATTTGTCGCAATTGGTCGTCCAAATAATTGCTATAATGATTGTAGTTTTACAAACTCCCGTGGGCATAAAATTGGTTATGGATAAATTGGATGAATGATGAACCTTGTATGGTGTAACCTCATTTGTACTTTTTGTGAATTAATGTTTGATTAATTGATTTAGTTAAGTATATAGCATATGAGGTTATCTCGTTTTTGTACAGTTCCTCGAAATTTTCGGTTGCTGGAGAAACTCGAAAAAGGAGAGAAGTGAATTGAGGCTGGAACCGTAAGCTATGGTATGGATAATAGGGATGATATCTACATATAATCCTGGACTAGAACAATCATAGGCCAACACAATGTGAATCACTTGGATGTTGTCCATGAGTCGATCAACACGGTGATTTCAACAGCCTTGAAGAAAAGCAAGCCGATTTACATAAGCATTACCAGTGATCCATCACCTAACTTTCTCCAGGGCACCGTTGGCATCAAGCGCGTTACCAAGCGGGCCCCACTGTGTTGTCTGGTCGATCGAGGACACGTTCAACCTGGAGAACAGAATCAAGTCGAGCACCTGGAAGGTGGTTCTCTAGCATGGAAACTCTAATTTGGGACTATGGGTCTTTCTTTGAAAATTATACAAGTTGTATGGACTTATCTGCAATTTGGAGAATTTTACTTATATTGCAATTTAGTTCATGGGTCAAATATGTAATTTCTCAAAAAAATTAATAAATGCATTATATTGATAAGTTAATTGCACAATACTGTGCGTGGATATGCACATTAAAAATACATGTATAGGACAAGATGCACATTAATGTATGAGATAATGCACCTTAGAATAATAGTGTATTCCGCGCAATGACTAAAATGATATAAACGTAGGCAATTTCGTATTCTAGTATGTCGTACGGCAGCGTGGTGCAATAGGAGTGATGGTCAAACCCTCGTCTTGGACGCTCAATTCCAGTTTGAGATTAGGGATTTTTAAAAAAGTTAGATAAATCACAAGAATTTAGTTTTAATTTTTAGAAACTTTAACTATATTACAATTTATTTTATGGGCCAAATATAATTTAAGAAAAAACTAATAAATGTACAATACTTCGTGTGGATATGCACGATAAAAATGCAGTCATATTTTTTTATGAGATTATAGAATTTTCACAATCTAAACATTTAAAATCTCACAAAATTTACCAAGTTAATATAAATGATTTTATATATTATCACTAATGTGAAGAAAATAAAATCACCTTAAAACATAAATATCATTGAACTCTAATCCCTATATCTAAATTTTATAGGCGGTCTCTAAAATTAAATTGCACAAACCATATATATTATATAGATGCACATTAGCCCCTTATATGTTGAACCATATTACAAGATTAATTGCACATTATAGAAATGAAGTGCCTACTAAATTTTGAACGCCAACTACTATTGCCTAAATATCGATGATCTATAAGGTGAATATTGTTGATCTATATAACACAAGACACACATTCATGTTGATGTTCATAATCTATAATTTTTTGTCTGAATTTCACAATTCAACAAAGAAAAAAAGAATGTTCATAATCCAAAATATCCAGAATACACTTCATGTTGAAATCAAATAAAATGAGAGACTATGTAGCAACACCCGCGCCCCAAAAAAAAAAGATCATCTGCTAAACATCTACAATGATGATCAGCGATATATCTTTCGTACATGCTAAATTCATTTGTCGAGCAAGCCCATAAAAATGAATGCCACCTTGAAATATTCAAATAGTAGCATGGAATCGACGATAGATGTATCCCTGCACCAAGTTAAAAAAAAAATGTTGAAATTGCACATTACTCTATAAAAAATTGCACATTACTGTATAAAATATTGCACAATACGATATAAATTATTGCACAATAAAATATCACTTTTTAATAATTATCAATTTGCTCCAAAAGAGATTAAACTTGCACATTACTCTATAAAAAATTGCACATTACAATATAAAATATTGTACAATAAAATATCACTATTTAATAATTATCAATTTGCTCCAAAAGAGATTAAAATTGCACATTACTCTATAAAAAATTACACATTACGATATAAAATATTGCACAATAAAATCTCATTTTTTAATAATTACCAATTTGCTCCACTTGTACTTGGCTGCGAGAAATTGAAGATGAGGTGAAAGTACGTAGATAGGTGTGGCTGCCCGCGCGTCGTGTCTCAAGGAAGGTCAGCCGGATTATTTGTACGGATATTCAATCACACAAAAAAGAAAATAAATTTCTAAACACTCTAATTCAATGATTTTAGTTTTCAGTTATCAACTAATAATTCTCAAACAATGCAAATAAACAATTATCAATACTTAAGACGAGTTTCTTCTACGCACGAAGGCTAGGGAATTGGGGGTGATTATACTCAAATCAAATTCAAACACCAAGCAAAAATTGTTCGGCTAAATGATTCAATCAACCTACACATCTAGAAATTATTCCTCAATAACTTCTCGTAACAAGAGGAAAAATATAGACGGCAAATCAAACCAATCAATTAACACGTAGGCAATACAATTACAAACAAGCCTACTCTAGTCGAGCCTGAATCGATCGAATTCTCCCCTTTCGGTTCTACAAGTCGATTAATTAGATTAGAATGGTGATCAAGCATCCAACCCTAGGTTTAAATCAACTTGAAAAGATTGAACGAAATTCACAGGCAAGATAAGCACACGAGTACGAGTAATCACCCCCTATCCCTAGCTTAAGAATTTAGCCACTCATGCCAAGATGAACACAAGACATAGTATAAAGTAAATACTCCAAACTCACAATTAACATGAGAAGAAAGCTTACGATAAATAAGAGTCAAGTGTTGAATCTCAAGCACAATCCATACGATCAAAATCCTTGGGTGTCACTCCCAAAAATCTAAAAAATAAGCAAAGATAAAATGTTCTCAGTTATTCGTCTGGTAAAACGAGAGAAAAATGAAAAGTGCAGAATGAATTCTCAAACCCTCGCTCGATCCTACTTAAATGCGAACAGATTACAAATTTTAAAAGATGAAGCGCCGCGGCGCGAGGCCTGCCGCGGCGCGACGCGCTGATGTGGCGGCGTGAAGGATCTCGCGGTGTGGTGGCTACGGCGTGGAGAAGGGAAGTGTAGTGGCGCTAGGCTTGTCGCGGCGTGGCAGTTGGGGAAACTCGAGTTCTCTGTACGTCCGTGGAGACTGTCGTGGGGTGGGAGAGCGGGTACCACGGCGCGTCACCTTGCTCGGCGTGGCAGTTGGGAAGAACCGTCTGAAGGCCCGTTAAGGGTTCCACGTGCATCATCACGGCGTGAAGGTGATGAAGCGGCAGCAACGCGAGACTACACACAGCGTGGCAACTGGACAATGCAAAACCGGGACACGTCCTTTGTATATTCGAGACACCTCGAGACAACTTGACTGGATAAGCTCCTAACATCTGGTCAACGATCTAAATCTGCACATCTCCAAGAACAAGAAAATACCTGGAAAACAGAGAAAACAACCGAATATACGAAAATAAAGAAATAACGACAACCACACAAAACCAACAACTCGAGGACCGAAAATCCTATCAAAAGACCTAAACCGGGGGCTAAAAACCTATAAACCGATAAAGGAAAAGATAACAAAAATAGGACAAACACGTAGGTCTACAAATTTATATTTCAAAGGGGCAATTTTTTTATGCCCAACTGGCGGATCAGGAGGCGCATAGCCGTATCAAAGTTTCTAATGGCGGTGTTGTCTGCAGCCAGGAACGAGCGCTGAACCCAGAACTGGCTTACGGGCATCCTTGTAGTGGGAACCATGAAAAAATATGAAAAGAACTGCTATCCACCTTAGGCATCGTCGGCCGCATCATCATAGTTGTCCTCTTCGCTGGGGCCCCTGGTCACCTCGTCGAGGCCGTCATCAAATACGCCCTTGTTGACAATCAGCAGGGGCCAATCCCAAATCGGGAAAAATAACTAGAGAATCACATTACGAACCTGAACTAAACATAAACACACCTTAATCATTTAGATATTAAACAATACTACGGTGCTAGAACTATTTCAATTTGATGATATATCCAACATGCAACAATTTCAGCAAGAAAACTAAGTCAGTAGTTGAATATGTTCCTATCAACACCAGCGACAATAAGACAACAAAAACAAGCTTAACTTCCCTCTTTATTACCCAGATACCAACTCCAGCAACCCATCCGCACTTAATTAAACCCGTACGCCCGCCTTGTCTCCATCATCCAAACGGGTCTTGATCAAGTAGTCCACGACCTCCTGCAGCACATTTGTAAAAGGACATTGCAACATCCTATCCAAAGTTCCAAATCAGATAAAGATGTGAGGGCTTACTGCAACTCTGGAATCGAGTGACAAAACAATCGTCTCTTTTAATGGTTGATTGTCTATTTGGTTAATTGTTTAGATATGGTAGTCGTCTCCTTTAATGGATATTTAGGTATGATTGTTTTCTCCTAGTGAACATTCTGAACTCGGTTTATCTGTCACAAGAATTTGATCACTCAGTTCATAAGACGTTCACATATACACAAATTAAAAGAAATTACATAACACTGAAAAGATGAAAAAGATTTATCATCACTGATGCCAAATTTTAAAAGAAATAATATGTGGCAAATCTGATAGATTATCAAACAAAAAAAAAGCACCTTCTGCAAATTAGTTTAGGAAAAATGTGAAAAAAATTAAGAACAACAAACATATATAACTGAATTGTTCATCATCAGGGTAACATAAAGAGAATCAACTCACTAATGCACACACAATCTACCTAATCGAACATAAACTACTCATCCAATTATCACAAAACTCATAAAATCAAAGAGGATAAGAGAAGGACAAAGCCCTAGAACGATCCAAGAACCAATCGCTAACAAATCACCGTCACAATCGAAACGCATATACACATAAACACACACACACACAATCAAAGAAATTGACAAAAACAAACAAAAACTCAGATATTAACCCGATTAAAATCCAATCAGAGCTAAGGACAGAATCTTTACTTGACGTTGTGGGCTGGCCCGATTAACACTATGTCTCCGGCATCCCTGATCCTTCGTGCCACCTCAATTAACTCGGAGATTTCAATTTGAATACAGAGTTCAAGTACTCTCGCATCAACCCTCTCTTAAGTCCTCTCTCTCTCTCTCGTCTCTCTCAAGCTTTGAGTCTGTTGCCTCTCTCAAGCACCAGCTCAACTATGGAGTCCCCACGCACACTCGATCTCTCTCTTTGCCATTTAGTGTTGAAATAACAATAATACCCTTTTATGTACAACCTTAAAACCTGAAATTTCCTTTATTTACAATACTGCCACCGTTGCGAAGTAATTGAGTGAATCTCGATTGTCCATTCATCACATCTTACGGTATAGATTTATTGTTATTTCGCATTCTCATGTGATCAACTCTATATATAATTAAAGTTGTACTAAACATCATAATATTCATGCTCACACTCATTTGGGTCTTAAATTGAAAGGTCCGGACACGTCATGTTTCGGAGAAGCAGCGACGAGCTGAACCCTAATCTCTGCTCCTCCAAATCAAACTGCAGCAAATTATCCTCAATCAAGTTCCCACCGATCACGACCGTCGTCCTCGGCTCATCCCCGCCGTCCACAAACCCCAAGCACCACGCGTCCACGCCGCCGCTCTTAATCCTCACCATCGAATTCGATCCGTAGATCCTCCAGATCACTTCATCTTCCCCCAGGACCAGATCGACGGCTGGGACGTCCGGGCCCACGCGCGTGACCCGTACCTTATCCGCAGCGTAGCACGCGCCGAAAGGCGCCACGGGCTCGACTGAGCTGCGGTCCAGCCCACCGTATGACCCGAATGCTTCAATCAGCGCCCTGTAGATCGAGCTCTGCAGCACGCCGTACGGCCTGGACGTGCTGATTTTCGTTCCGCCGCGGCCGTTCTCGTCGACCGCCAGAAGGGTCCGGTTCAGGGGCACGGGTTTCCGGTCCACCCGGATCGACGTCAGCCCCACGTAATAATCCGGCGACTTGTACCAATAGTAGATCCTCGTGTCCGCTCCCCGCGGGGCCAGGATAAGCGGCGTGTAGGCAAGCAATTTCGAGACGTCGACTTTCCCTGGGTTGAAATCGTACGGCCCGGCCGAATTGAACAGAGCCACTCCCGGTTTGGTCGACGAGCTGGGCAGGCACAGAGCAAAAACCCATGGAGAATTGGAAGCTCGGCTGATTTGGGCCGAGAGGGAGTAATTGAAACGGCCCAGTGAGGCTAAGCCTACCGAGCCTCCAGCTAGACCCCGGTAGATCTTGGAGTATTTATTGGGCTCGGTGCACGAAAGCACGATTTGCGAAGGCGGGCTGAGCTGGGCCCGTTTTGCGGCTATTGGGAGGGCGAATTTGTCAGTCTGGATCGAGCCCATCCCGCTTTTCCAGGTGACTGGGTTTTCTGGGTAGTCCAAGCACGTGTCGTTAGCGCAGCCCGGGCCTGGTTTTCTGAAGCAATTGCCATAGACGCGTGTGTTGAGGTCTATGCAAAGGGAGGAATTGTAGATGACGGGCTCGTAAGAAGATGATTTGTAGTGGCGCGAGCAGTCGTAGAATGTGATGTAGGAGCCGAGGTCGAGGTGTAATTGAGAGGGCTGTAGAGGGGTTTTAAGGTAAATTGACATGGTGTAGAGGTTTGTGGCATCGTCTTTGTTAATTAGGCTGTAAAGTGTGGGGGAATGAGAGGTTACTTGAGCTTTAGCTGAGTATTGCAGAGCAATGGAGGAGAGGATGAATATGGTGGAGACAATAGGAAGGG